GAAGTTCTCCCCTGAGGTGTTTGCCCAAGAAAAATGAAAACATATGTCCCCAGAAAGACTAATACATGAAATCTCATATTAGCTTTGTTCCTAATAGCCCCAAACTGGAATTAACCCAAATGTCCTTCAATAGGTGAATATATTAGAAATTGTGGTATATCCATTTAAGGAAATACTATTCAGCAATATAAAGGAAAGAACTACTGATATCCAAAACATGGGTGAGTCTCACAGACATGTTGAAAAAAAGATACAATACACAGAAATCATTCAGTCATACTGTATGATTCAATATATGTGACATTCTAGAATAAGAAAAACTAAGCTATGGTGACAGAAGTCAAAACAGTGGTTTCCTGGATTAGGAGATAGACCTGAAGAGTGACTGGAAGGGTCACAAGGGAAATTTCTGGGGTGATGGAAATGTACTATACCTTGATTTTGATGATGGTTACAAAGGTGTGTATATTTTTTCAAAACTCTTCAAACTGTATGCCTAAAATGTGTACATTTTGCTATATATAAATTATAGCTCAGATTTTCATAAGGTACAAAAATTTGCCAAGGTAAAACCTTCAGAGGATCCCCTTGCTTCAGGATAAAGCCTAAATTCCTTATCATGATCTGGCCCTTATTGAATGTCTCTTGGCTCATTTTTTGCCATTGCTCCCACCTCCTACCACTTATTCTAAGGTACTTGTATTTTCAAAAACTGCCATTCTCTTTCCTCTGAACCTCTAAACAATGCTCTCTATGCCTGGAATTCCTTTTTGCCTTCCCATTCACCACTGAATCTTCAACATCCTTCAGGACTCAGAGGTAGCACCTCCTCCAAGACATCTTGTTCCCTCCTAGTCTATATTAGATGTTTTTTTTTTCTTGCTCTCAGAGAACTATATACTTCTTTCTAACAAAGCATGTATTGCTCTGTAATTTAATTTGCAATTTTTTAAATTTTATTTTATTTTTATTTTTTATTTTATTTTTTTTTTAATTTTTTTTTCAA